AGCTAGACAAGTAATTAATTAGGAACAAAAAGAAAACACACTAAATGTTTAATTAAATTAATGTCTTTAACATAAAATACGTATGTGTTAATGTGAATTTACAAAATACAATATTCCGTATTATGATACGACATTAATTTACTCTTATTGGAAAGCTTTTGAAAATAAGCCCTTATCTAATAATCCTGGGTTGCTTCGTAGAAGAGATCGCTAGCCTAAGGATAAGACCGCCTAAACTGCCCTGTGAGGTGTACAAGAATGAGCTACATACCTCTATCTTATCAGTATTACGCATTTCATAATGATTACAAATCTTTGATCATACACGAGAATTAGTAGGTACTGCCTAATACAGGTAATACAAGGCATTCGGCTAAAACAACACATTTTTTATCCTTAGCTTTCTCGTTGTAGTGTAGACACACCACGAGACACACACTTTATCTCAGACAAATGTTAAATTTTTATCTATATTTGTTTTGTTGATAAGAAACCGGTACATTGATAAAATTATGTCTTATCATCTGGGCATGTGAATTACGCGGAAACCAGTTTTAAGCTTTATCGCAGATTATCGACTCGTCATCAGATTTTGTAAAATTCCTAAATTCATCACTTAGGAATTATTGTTTTATCGTAAAATGTATCATGATGGATGATACATGATTTATGAGTTATTTTAATTACATAAACATGCATACTAATTATCAAGTGAATTGAGTTTTAAGTTTCATAATGTACATAATGTATTTTACTGCAATAAATGAATAAATAAATAAATGCGTTTTTCCTCAGATCATAGAAGGGATCCCTATGATCTGAGGTTTTTTCCATAACTGTTATGAATTGGTATGTCCTGTCCACCCACATACTACGTGGGGCACCTGCCTACTATTGTAGATATTACCTATAACTTAAAAAAACCTTTGTTCCATAGGAAGTATGTAAATAATTATCATCAAAATGTGTGATGTAACTTGACATTTTGCTTTCCTGACCTCCCCTTAAGAGCAATATCTTAGAGAACGGAAAAGGAAGATCTTCAGAAGTCTTTTTCGATTTCTTTATAAACTGACAGCACCTTGATTGTCCAAATGCACTTCCTGTTGGCAAGTCTACATAACTGACACTCTCGTTAAAATTTTAACATAATACTTAATCGAGAAAAATTATCGATTTTTACTCGTAAACTTTCGCGTTATATGCTATCCTCCTAATATGAATACGAGAAGCAAACTAATTAAAGAAACTTCAGGAAAATGAAAGTAATGAATAAAATGAATCTAAATGATATAGTTTCCACCGACTAAAACAAACAAATAAAATAATAATAATAACCAGAAGCCAAATGCATTGGTAAAGAAAAATAAATATTTGAATGTGATTAAGTTATGACTATTTAATGAGGTCTTATCTAAGTATGTAAAGGAAAAGAAAGCTGTTTAATAGACTTTTACTGATACAAAGGCTAGTGTTTGATGATGACGACACAATTTTTCCAGTAGATACTTAGCTGTGTAAAGTAGAGCATTAACTATTTTTTTTTATCATAACACGAGAGCTTTAGACAGACAATGACACTGATGTATGGATGTATCTGTCGCAGTCGGATTGTATAATCCGCCGTTTTACATTACCACTAGGCATTTTACATTACAGCTCTGTTTTGTAATACGGCGGTTCAACGTTTAGGCGGATTGTCATTGCGATACGTTCTTCAATACGGCGGCCCACGTTAAGCCGCACTACTATAGATTGTAGGGTGACCATACTTACAAAATAAAACAATGTTAAATGAAAATAAATTTTAATAAGACAGATTTTAAGAATTATTACCTTCGTTACTGTATAAATAATATATTTGGCTTCAGTATTTTTTTTTACTTATTTATAAATCACAAGGGATAGCCATCTAAAAAAAAGTAACTCAAAACAATTAGACTTTTCTAAACATTTTAAGAATTAATTAGATATTTGGCTTTAGTCTTTTTTAGACACTAAAAATGATCAAAGGGAACAGGTAACTCAAAACAATAAAGTTTTAGTCATTTTTTCTGGGTTATTTTTCTTTAAGATAAAATTATCTTCACCGGCCAAAGCCATGATTTCATATTTTTACACTAATAATATTGTGTAGGATTCCGCCGAAGACCAGAATCCATAGCCACTTTGTCCGGCAGCGCCACGGTATTGAAAATAGGAACTAAAAACTGTCAAAGCGGCGGGTAATGACACGCTGTTTTACATTACGGCTAGCCGTATTGAAGAACGTTTGGCGCCGAATACATTCCGGCGGATTTTCATTCAGCCGTATTCAATCCGGCTAAACGTTAATCCGCCGTATTACAAAACAGAGCTGTAATGCAAAATGCCTAGCTGTAATGTAAAACGGCGGATTATACAATCTGACTGCGACATATCTATGTAAGTTGACCATCTAATTCTATAGGAGGTAAGAGGTTGACCAGATTTTGAAATAGCGGACTATAAAAAGTATAAAATATCGTTAAAAAACAAACACATTGCTCTCACCTTCACCTGTATGATAATCACTGATTTCAGAAACAGTAGGGTAGCTGAAGACTTAAGACCTTGAATAGCAAGTGAAATTACTACCAGCAACCGTGGACGCTTTGTTAGTGAGTTTGTGCGATCATGATCGATTGTTTGGGTGGACCAGTCTATAAATAGCCGAGGTCAATTCGTTATTTGAAATTCAAAACCATATTTTGCAGTTCTAGAAACTTTATCGTCAATTATTTTCACCCGAAGCGGAAAAAACTTGCCTTTTTTCAACAGTCGTGTTGATGTTTTCATTTCTGCAACAACATGAACTGCAGCTATCTTTTCTTGATGATTCATGTGTATTTAAAGAAAATTTTTATATTAATACATTCTGTGATGTTTCCCAATCGTCGAAGTAAACAAGGATGTAGATACCCTCTAGATATCATACGCTTCAGCTTTGGCTGTTTATTGGGAAACTTACGCTGCATTTCTAGACTCGATAGAAAATTCTAGAACTTGATTGCAGATTGCAACGGCCGATGACAGGCTTCCTCGAAGTAAACATTATTTTTAGCTCGACGACTTGCACTAACATGGCGCGATGGTTATAACTGATTCGTGGGTATCAACTTTCTGAGTGCATAAAATAATCCCTGACTCATTAGTGGGAATTGGTTTGGTAGATAGAAATTTGGGCTTAATTTATACAAGGCTTAAAGTGTAGTTTGGCAAAGTGTAAGTGGCAAATATTAAAAATCCCCAATCAGTATAACAGTTAGTGATTGGATGAATGGGGAATGGGGATCAAGCCCTTTCTTTGGCTCTCCTAAGTAAGTAACTAAGTATGTGCCCAATGATGGAACTGCAATGACTAACTGAAATGATAATGATTTCAAATGTAATATTTTTCATAAGTAATATTTTTGTTGATTGATTGTACGAGTATGTAGCATAGTGCCATATAACCCAACCCTGAATGAAATCCTTTCGTTCCAAACTAACAGGTATTGTCCGATTTTTTTTTTCATTACATTTTGTTATGTAGCGTCATGGTGTACCTAAGCCCTGAAAATTGGAAAAACTAAAACAACAGAGTTTAATTTAGTTCTTTGCGAATTACTGCCAACTTGATACTTTCATTTAAGGTCAATTAATATAATTACTTCATTTATTAAATCGAATCCTAATGTATTGAATACTTATTGTAATATGATAAAATTTCGGGTATTTATTTGTTGATAAACCTAATTATTAGTGACGTAATTAGCGTATTAGAATTATTAATATTATTTTATTTCCCTAACTGAATGCCTTTCATTTGATGAAGAGGTTTATTGTCAACTAGCTTTCCGCCCGCGGCTTCGCCCGCGTGGAATTTTGTCTGTCACAGAAAAACTTTATCGCGCGCGTCCCTGTTTCAAAAACCGGGATAAAAACTATCCTATGTTCTTTCCCGGGACTCAAACTATCTCTATGCCAAATTTCATCAAAATCGGTTGCGAGGTTTAAGCGGGAAAGCGTAACAGACAGACAGACAGACAGACAGACAGACAGACAGACAGAGTTACTTTCGCATTTATAATATTAGTTGGGATTAGTTGGGATACTTATCCCGAAGTTTTAGAATTCATTTTATATTTGAATTTATGTCAGTTATTATTTGTTATTTGCTGAAGTAATTTAAAGTAATCTTATGGTTAGGTAGGCTAGGCTACCTATTGAAGGTATATGTACTTATTTAATCGCCCATTTACGGTACTACTTATTTCATAGATAGGTAAGTAAAATGAATGGAAGCCATTCACTGATTTTTGTTTTAAAAAAGATTTGCTTGTTCCTACATGTTAATAAAGTGTACAATTTTGTCAATCGTTAATAGCAAGGTCACTGCATGTTTAAATTAATGACTAAACTATAATATTTGAATAATAGATATTGAATAATGTTTGTTATTTGACTAACAAAATGTTCACACTATTATGTTGAAAATGTGGCAAATACGGAACTGTACAGATCTTCTCCATTGTACCACTTTTTCGATCCACGGAAATTAAAATTAGGGCGCCTTAGTTAAAATTAGATAGTAACAAATATGTGGGTAGGTATAGCTACTATTACTTATTCTGTGCCGATAGTTAAAATATAACGCGAGTGATATCAACAGTTTTATTTATAGTCTATTGAAGTTACATAAAAGCTTTTAGCACATCAAATGGCCATGCTGTTTGACCACAGCTGAGGTTGAACCACGTTGCACCCCCTGAACTTTGGTCGGAAAAGAGGACAGTGACGTCACGACGTTTACTTGCAGCGTATCGATAGCCTCGGCGCATGCGTAACCCCCGCGTCTGTGTGCGTGCGTGTCTGGCGGAGCACGCGGCCCCTGCGTGCCCTACCGCCGTCTCTTTCTCATCTCATATCGTCATCCTCCTCCTGTACGCGACTCGCGCTTGGCTCGGGGAGCCCCGCTGATTCAAGTTTAAAATACCTCCATAGCTGCACTAACCCTCAGTTGTGCTCCGACTGCGGTACAGTACACGTCTGAAAACCGTGACACGTCGCTGTAAACATTGTGATTTTTGTATTGTAGATTTTGTGGAAGCAATTGACAACCTGATTTTCCTGTGTCCGCCACAGCTGTCTTGAATAAATTATTTGACATTTTGGTAAGTTGACTAAAATGCATGAAATGAATTTTATTCATTGGGTTTTCCTTAACGGTAAAATTTACAGTTGCTGTTATCAGTATGAATTTATTTGATGCTGTAGCCGTTAGTATTAAGTTTAACAGTATTCCATATGGACACCCTATATTATAAGAAAACGCTGAATCGATTTCAGTAGTTGATTAAAAGCGAAAGAAATTGAAAAGTTGTTAAGAATCGATGTGCAATGAATAGTAGAATGTTATAGAAATTTCTGGTTATTCAGCTAACGGGGCGAGCGCAGCAAATGGCCGACTGCACGGACTAGCCGCTTTCTCCCTCGAGCTGGGTTGGGCGACTTTGTCGATCACTTTCGTTTCTTCTAATCACCTAATTTGTTAGGAATCTATTTCCAAACATCGATAACAACGAGCGATTGCGGATCATTAGTACAACAATATCACGTGCGGTTGAATTTGGATTACCGATTTATTATATAAATAGTAATATTCATAATCGTTTTTATGCCTGGATGCACACATAACTTACGACTAATTTCAGTATTAGTAATTTACCGTACGTCATAAGTTCTACAGACGTTATTAGTGTTAATAACTTCAACAAAGTTTTTAAAACTTTGTCCCAAGTCTCAGATTCGATGTTCCAGTTTCGAGCGTTACAACATTCACTGCTTTATCTTTTAAAGCTTCCGCAATACTTTTTGTATAGAATTAGATTTGACACAGATCATAAATGGTCCCAAAAGAAATCTGCAAAAGGGCAGGTCTCTCGGGATATGCAAAAAAATTGGTCTTTAAAATTTCCTTGAAATATTGCAGTAACATAAAAACATAAAACATTCATGAGAAATACATATAATGAAATTCCTCTACAATTTCTTAATTCAAGAACTCATAAAAAATCCGAAATTCAACTTGTACCTACGAGCACATGTGGGAACTAAAACAGGTATCTGCCTAGATGCCCAAAAAGGTATTTTGTATTTTACCTGCTGCATTGAAAGCGCATAAGGACAAGTTTTTGTTGCCTTTCTGCTTGCCTTTGTCCTTTACCTTGGCTATCAATAACAGTGACAGAACCCTTTTGTTGAGTTTCGAAAATTCTGGACTAGAGAAATTCTGGAATACTGCTATATCACCAGTATTGAAAATATTGTAACAAAATTACTCTAGTAATTTCTTCCAGACGACAGATTTAAAAAATACCAAATAGAATCAACACTGAGCTCACTTGAACTGTATGTGTAATAGTAGTTTAATCCAGATACCTCGTGGGAAGTACCTGGATGCAAGCGGCGCAGGACCGGTCTTTGTGGAAATCCTTGGGGGAGGCCTTTGTCCAGCAGTGGACGTCTTTCGGCTGAAACGAACGAACGAACCTAAACAAAAAATATAAAATGAAATGGTCACGGAAAATTCCATTGACTGAACTTAAAGGAACATTTTCAGCTGTCCCGTTTGACGTCACGTCTCCGACTAGGTATTGACTCAGCTGACTTCCGAGGTTAACGATCGAGAGCTAGGAACTTTTTATCCTTTATTCGCATAATATCAGATTCTCAAAATATCAGATTCTTAAAATATTAGATTATCAAAATAGCAGAATCTTTTATTGTTAACCAAATCAATGAATAATTGACCTTATTTATATCAAATCGGAAATCGCATTTCAATCACATTTTATGCGCTATTTAAAGACAGGGCACTAGATCAATAACCTGTCGGCACACTTTGTACAGTCGACATCATAATGAGACTACAATTTTGTTGCAAAATCGACGTTAATACAATCAAAACTTGATTTGGTGTCGTCAGTACTTGCAAATTTTCCAAAGTGAGCTTATGATGCAAAAAGAGAGACTTACATTTTTCTTTCCATTGTCAAACAGACTGAAAAACCAACTTCTCTACCAAGATGCTCGCTAGCCCAGCTATGGAACTGCAGACTGAGGAGACCCCATTGGCTCTGCAACGCCTGTGGAACCTGACCCGCGCTCGCTTGGCTGGAACCTCCACTGCATTGGATGAGGAACCAGCCCTGGTGGAATCTTTGCCGTTTGCTCAGGTGAGTGGTCAGAAAGCTCTGGTATATTGATGAAATCTTCGTACCGGTCAGCCATGACATTTACCTTTGCTATAGGCAGTTGTAGCGGATTAGCCGAAACGACACGAAAATTAAGAAATTAACATGATAAAAATTCGTAGCTATTGCACCTACTGATTGGATTAAGCAGAAGATATTTTCCAAATTTCCAAATGACGTAATTTCTTCGTTTTCTTTTCATCCAGTAGCTAGAAAATTCAATGCGGCATGAAATTAGTTTTTTTGCCCGAAAAGATCTTTTAGAAAGCCATTATATTTTACACTAGAGCAACTTACAGCTAGTCATTGTAATTAATAACAAAATAGCACCAATTATAAGATTCCACTTTTCTTCTAAGCACATAACCATCTTATAAATTTTATTAGATACGAATTTGAAACAGAAATATCTAAGTGCAATAGGCTAGTATCTGTAACTTATTGGTAGTAACCATCATATGATGAATTCGTAATACATGTATGTATATTATTATAATTTATATTTTTGATATTGTTCATTTGCGTAGTTCTGAGTAGTAACAAATAAGATTACACAGTTAGAGATAACTCAAACCTTTTATAATAGATGCCCTTCAACGACAAGAACCTTCAACGAATTTAAAATTTATGATCAGGAAGTAAGACCTACTGCCGCGTTATTTATTTAACAATATTTAAGATTTCTTAAGTCGTCTGTAGATACTTTATCACAAGATCTTTTTTCTGGGCTACGAGAGTGAGTAGAAAAATTTACTAGAACGAAAAAAGTGTCATGGTCTGGAAAGACACAGAGTTACAATAAATGTAGGGTTAAGAATTTATCTTTAGGTGTTACCTAAGGACACGGGTTTCATTTAACTAATATACATTGTTTGATAGACCATTTTCATGGAATGGATAACGATTTCTAAGATTTCGAGCACAGCTAGTAATCAATATTATTGATCGTTTGACTGAAACGAGTCAAGGTTCTGTCTGCCTAGTGTCCTACTTTCTTATCAAAATATTTATTATTGCACACATCCTTATGACTGACTCTTGTGATGATTATTGGTTGCTTAATGTATCGTCTTCAATAATATTATAAAGACCTTTGTACGCGGTAATCACTGCTACCGTAATTATTCCAATGTCAACCTATTTACTACGATTTATTTTAATACACTTATATTAAGACTAGCTTTCCGCCCGCGGCTTCGCGCGCGTGGACTACATTATCTACATATTTTACGGAACTCTATTTTTGAACAAAATAAAATTTAGCCTATGTTACTCGTGGATAATGTAGCTTTCGAATGGTAAAAGATTTTTTAAAACGGTCCAGTAGTTTTTGAGCCTATTCATTACAACCAAACAAACCAACAAACAAAGTTTTCCTCTTTATAATATTATAATATACTCGTATTATAGTGTAGATAAAACGTTATTTATAAGAATTTGATTGAATAACGAAAACTCAACTCTTATCACATACATAACGTAGGTGTAAATAAAATGGAGAAATGAATTATTTATAGCACAAGGTCACAGAAACTAGACTCTTTTTCTAAGTTTATATTTTTGTAAAAGATGAACCAGTGCATGTCCACTTGAAGTTAAGGAAATTAATCATGGTTATTCTAATTATAACGTTTATCGCATCGTCTAAAATTTTTTTTTCAGGAACCCGAAGGAACACCAAAGCCTTTTATCCCAGTTCCCAGCGACTATGAAAGCGATGGTGAGGAGGCATTCCCTGAGCTGGAAATACCTGTAAGTAACAATCGATAAATTGTAGCAATTAATTTCTTAGCGGTCAGTGGAATTGTTGGCTAATTAGTGAAATTGTTTTGGCTTTCAACGATAACTCGCGGATGTTTACCGAGTCCACGGCAAATGTGTCACTCGATACGACACACCCCCGATATCGATGTTGCGTTATTAATGAATGTCAGCGTCATGACCCCCGCTGACAAACATATTACGAACAATACACTCAAACAAGGCTTGATAACGCTAAGTAGAATAGCAATATAGTTCTATAAGTAGAAACAGTAGATATTAGCATTGCTTCCTTTGATTGAGCACTTGTTCTGCTTCATTTGACCGCCCATTCAGAGAGTAAGGTCAACAACATTGCAGATCTTATACGGGCTCGCTGTTTGTCTATTTTTTGGGGATTTTAACCTGAATAACCTTTATGGAGGTTAACAATATGCACAAAAAATAATTGCTCAGGTCAAACAAAAATAAATTTGTTTAACTTTGTTTGCCTTAATGATCAACATTTCGGTGATTTCACTATCGAAATTATTCACATGCTCCGAAAAATCTGGCAAACGTCTAGAGTTGTAACGAATTTTACGAATTCCTAAATCACGTGTAAGTACTCCCGGGGGCTTGGCCTGGTCTGATTTTAGTTGTACGTAGGCGATTGCTTTCGTAAATCTGCCTCCCGTAAAGAATCTGAATAGGTACTGAAAATAGGATGAAGAAATACGTATAAATAGCACACAATCCATCTCCCGGGCGGACTTTGCCCCGCCCCAACTAGTCAACAAATCAAGAGCAATTTGCGAATCACAGTAAATAGGTATCTTGCCTGGATTGACGCAACTCCTGTAATAGATTTGTTTACTGGACTGCAATTTAAGAAAGCATCCTTCAATTGGTCAGTTAAAAGTAATTGGTTGGCGTCGCGTCTCGAGCGTTGCCTTTCTTTTTTTATTCACACTAAAACTTTGTTGCCGAGGACATAGTGAACTGTTACTTCAGTCGTATCACTGAGGCGACTATCCTTCCGTCCTTTCTCTAGATGCAGTTATATCCTAAAGTTATATCCTACTATATTACAGACATAATACACTCAGCGGCACGGAATTTGGCCCAAGCCTAAACAACCAGATATGAGGCCAAATAGGTGTTGTATACCTAAGTTTCGTGTGACATGTTAACAGAACATTTGTTTTTGTTAATTTAAGACGCTAGATTAATAAAAAAATGCGTCTGTTTAACTTTTTTGACTCTAGAAACGCATTTCGTTGTTGGAGCGTAAAGAGTACGGGTAAGTTTAAATTCGATATTAAATGTTGTAAGGGTTTGGCGTTTTGTTTTTTGTTTTTAAATTAATCTTAGGGTTATTCTCGTTTCCATAATTTGAGAATAATGTCCATTATTTCAGCTCAAGTTGCTCAAATAGTGCTGCTTAGAAGTCCAGGGCGTATACAGCGGGAGATGGCTGAAACTTTCAATTTATGGCGTACAAACTTAAGATACACTTTAAAAAGGCATGACCATACCGCCTTTTACACAAGAAGACCAAAAAGTGGGGAATGAAGGTGTAAATCAGCGCGCGATGACCCGATTATCGTGCTTGCAATATCAAGAAATCGGGTTCTCACTACGTTTGAGATACGCCAGCGTTTACAAACAACAAGCCTAGTGAATGTCAGTGAGTACACAATAAGAAGAAGGATGGAGGATCATAACCTGCATACTCGAAGACCAGCTCGAGGACCAGAACTTCTCCGATACCTTCGCGAAGTGCGACTTACGTTTTCTTGAGAACATGCAAATTGTACGTTAGACTAATAGAGTAAACTCTTTATGAAAACTGTCTGTTTGCGTAGTAACTCTTCTCCGCACCTTCTCTATACACTTCCACGGTCGTCTGGAGCTCTTAAGGTGACTCTGCAATCAGCGATCCATAGAACTTTACTCCATTAGCCTTGCGCCCAATTTGCATGCTCTCTAGAAAACGTAAGTCGCACTTCGCGGAGGTATCGGAGAAGTTCTGGTCCTCGAGCTGGTCTTCGAGTATGCAGGTTATGATCCTCCATCCTTCTTCTTATTGTGTGCTCACTAACATTCACTGGGCTTGCTGTTTGTAAACGCTGGCGTATCTCAAACGTAGTGAGAACCCGATTTCTTGATATTGCAAGCACGATTATCGGGTCATCGCGAGCTGATTTACTCCTTAATTCCCCACTTCTTGGTCTTCTTGTGTAAAAGGCGATCTGGTCATGCCTTTTTAACGTGTATCTTAAATTTGTACGCTATAAATTCAAAGTTTCAGCCATCTCCCGCTGCATACACCCTTGACTTCTAAGCAACACTATTTGAGCAACTTGAGCTGAAGTAATGGACATTATTCTCAAATTATGGAAACGAGAATAACCCTAAGATTAATTTAAAAACAAAAAACAAAACGCCAAACCCTTACAACATTTAATATCGAATTTAAACTTACCCGTACTCTTTACGCTCCAACAACGAAATGCGTTTCTAGAGTAAAAAAAGTTAAACAGACGCATTTTTTTATTAATCTAGCCTCTTAAATTAACAAAAACAAATGTTCTGTTAACATGTCACACGAAACTTAGGTATACAACACCTATTTGGCCTCATATCTGGTTGTTTAGGCTTGGGCCAAATTCCGTGCCGCTGAGTGTATTATTTAGTGATCTTAGCGACATTAGAGCTTTCATAACACGTAAAAATGTTCGTCATTTGTTATGACATAACTTTAACGATGTAAAGTATTCTACTTGGCAAGAGAAGGGACAACAGTCATGACGTGGACTTATACTTTTGCCAAGTAGGTGTTTCAAACTTCCCTTATTCTATTCAGCAGCGGCTCGCCGCCTGGTCATTGTACTTATTTAAATATAATCATTATCGGAAATTAAAAATGATTTCCGATGTTTGTGAATTTGATGACTGCGAAGAGTGTGATGGCCACTGCTTAGAAATTGTCGAAGTAGGGATTACTAGTTATTCTTTTATAGTTTTTTTGGCAGAATAGTTCAAGGAAGTGTACTTTCAGGAACAACCGGAGGTGCCAGCAAAGGGTTACTGGACCCAAAGTGGACGTGACAAAGAGGTTTTGTTGGACGCAAGTTTGCTTGGAGATGTGCCCGCTGTATACCGAGTGCCGCAACCGGCGCCATACCAGATGCCAGTCATAGGGGTGTACATCGACCCTCGAGTCAGAACTGGCTTCAGATACAAAGTTAGACCGATGCAGGTGAGAAGAGTAATTTGTTTAAACCTATAAGCTGTCGTAACACCGTCTCACACGCAGGGCTGTGGGGAATCGTCGCAATATTATTTTGCCTATCGAAAGAAGTGTTGATGATTGCAATCTGAAATAATAATAAATGCAATCTTCCACATTTCGATCAAATTATTTCTTGAGTAAAAACCAATAATTCAGCGACTATTCTCCACAATTAAATTGAATGTCGCTTAGTCATCGAAGAAAATATAAACTCTATCACAATTTCGCTTTTGTACCTATCATCAATGTGAAGCTTCCATTGGAACCCAAAGAAAAACTACGAAGATCCATATAAAAAATCGGGCAAAATTTTTCTACTGAACTGCAAACAAACGGCTATTGAAAATACAAAATATTAATTATGAAATGAGATTGGACATTAGAGCATCCTTTGAAAATTTGATGAAATTACTTACCTACCTACAGTAATTTTAGGAGTAATTTTATTTCTTATTGCAATAAATTTTGAGTTTTGAAATTCCAAGAATAATAGTTTGAAATTTTCCCACTTATTTTAAAAAAATAAATGAAAATAAGTCGATTGTGGTTGCTTTCAGGATATTTTTGCAAGGTATAATTTTCAGAACCAAATGGATGGTGAGTGCTTCACATCTTGCAAATATGTTCATGAACTAAGCGAATATTCTTGAAACACTAATCAAATTTTGATATTTTTATGGACTAACAAATCAATCGAAATATCTAGTTTGGAAAACAGAAAAAAAGAATCTTCGCCGAGTTTCTTAACGTGCAGCTACAATCGATAAGTCTGTGCATGTTAATATTATTTTAACAATAATATTATGACATGTTAATTTACCGCGTGAGGTTGTCATGTTTTTACGTTTTATTACCTACTATTTTAATGGATAATTCTGGTATCTTTCACTGTCGTAATTTTTGTATATAAACACTTTTTTGTAACCGTTTAAATTGATCAATTGGCAGCCTTACGTTTAGGTAATTTTGTTCCAATCTCCACTTCTAACAAAGAATCAAAAGTCCAAGCTCACTTCTTATGAAATTCCTAGCCGGTTTCAGCAGTTCAGGTCAATTGGTCAGAATAGTTAGTCGCGTTAGTTCAGTGAGTAGCGGTGTCCGTTGCTGAAATTTACAGATATAAAATATCACCAACGACCAACACTGTTCACACTGTGTTCGTATTGGCTCTATGCACTTGTCGTGTAGGCGATGGTATGTGGATCGTCCAGTTTTTCAGAACCTCGCCCAGAGCGGCGTTGATACAAACCACGAGAAAGCTTGCAGACACGAGGTCGAATCTGACATACTGGCTGGCAGCATGTTATGTCTCAAATAGGTAAACCATAAGTATCATTCACTAGGGCGTTCCGCCAATCATATTATATGTTCTGTACAAATCAAATCATTGTGAGCATGTAATGATTGTTTTCGAAATCATCATTCATAATTTCAATGGGAACCAAAACATTATCTACATTTAAAATTAATTCCTACTAATATTACAATTTTGAATAAATGATTGGAAAAATGATCATCACATCGGTCACAATTCACAATTTTCAAACAATATAAAAAAATAAGAGAAAAGAAAATTTAAAATAATAAAAATATATAAGTTAATAATTAAAAAAAGATTTGGATATGACAATAATGAATGAAACAGAAATTAATGTAAGATATTACTTGTACATGAATGAAAAATAAAATTATAATACATACAGTTTGGATATTGAGGAAAAATATTTTGAAGTTGGGAGCAGAGGTCTTTATTAGTTCTTTATGATTTCAGGCTCTGGATGCACCCCCACTATCCGTGAAACCAAGATACTTGTTTGGAGGGAAGGCCCTCACACTGCAATCCATTGGCCGTGGTTTTGCCAGACGCCTCACATTTGAACCTCTCAATTCTACACTGAATGACAATGACAACTATTTCTGGACTGACTCCAGGCCAGAAGGGTTTGTGTTTGAGATTGAGGCTGTATCCATTGGCGACAAATTCACCATCTATGATGCCAACCACGAACCTCAAGGCACCCTGGAGGTGGTCCAACAGCAGGTAAATAAATCAACAATCTTTATCACATCTACGCTATCTTACATAGATTGCATAAAACCTGATATTAATGAAAAAATCTTATTTTGTTTGCAGAAGAATCAAGTCGAACTTGACCAGAAGATATTTGACGACGGATCAATTGAGAAGAAAGTTAAAATCAACACACTTTGCAAAGTAGAGTGGTACGAAAATGATGGGGCAACAAAATTGGTTCCTGTTACTGGCGTGGCTCTATTGAAGAAGGGCCGTGGAAAAGCCAGTGTTACCAGAGTAACCAACGTTGCCATTGGCATCAAGCAGCTCAAGAAGGGCTACGAACTCAAGCCTGGCATTGAATCTTCCTCCAGGAGAATCTCCGTAAATGGTGGTGATATCAAAGACATTCCATGCCAATATTGTGTGGTGGGACTTGAGAGATACGAACTCCCCGTTATTGGTAAATATTTTCATTCAACTATATTGTGATCAATCTTCTTTTAAGTTTAAGACAATAAATATAATCCTTGTTATTATTTCAGGCACTTTTGTGGATCCTCGCATCATTCCTGGTTTCTACTACCGCGTGCGTCCCGCCGGCAGCAGACGCCATCTCTTTGAAGGACGCAGTCTCCTGCTTCAGTCCGTCGGCATGGGCTACGGAAAGCGCATCACGTTCAAGCCCGACACGTTGAACGCCCCAGAAAACTATTTCTGGTCCGACTCCCATCCAGAGGGCATTGGCATGGAGACCCGCGCCATCCATCCCGGCATGAAATTCACAGTTTCTGGAAATGGGGTAAGCACAAATAAATAGTCTCATAACTTTCACGTTCTACAATATTTGTTTTATTCACAACATTACCTAGTTTTTGTCAGGATGACACATGTCTGATAATATTTTGCTAAAAAAACCACAACTGGCGCCGCTGCGTATTGTTATTCCATAATGATTTTTGGCAACGCAACAATTTCTAATTGCATTTCTCGTTGGCAGTTGGCCAGGTTAAATCGGTAACAGCCTTGGCAGTTCATTTGGAATCTCGTGCGCGTATTTATATTAAATGAGTTGTTTATTTTCTTTACAGGGTCTTTTGGGTGAGGCGTGTGTCTTCAGAGCCGATTTGCCGCAAGTGGAAGAGAAGACTGAATATGTGGACGTGCCGGGGAAGCGTGGAAAGGCAGTCCAGAAATATGTCCACGTTGACGTCACATGCCACGTTAAGCTCGCTACAACTGGAGGAGGCTCGGTAGACTCTGAGGTGCACTTGATGAAGGTGTCTGGTGTGGCGCTCCTGCGCAAAGAGCCTGGTCAATCTACCGCCAAACTTGTGAAGGTGTACAACGTTGGGTTAGACTCCCAACTGAACCTGCTGTTCGCGCACTCACAGACCGAGCTCACGTTCCACCCTCTGCCCTAAATACCTTCCGAGCCTCGAATGGTGCTGCAGCACTGTGGCGATGAATGCTCACAATAAGTGTTGTAGTGCCAAAAAAACCTACCTGGCGCGACAGTGGCTCCGTCAAATGCTAACCGAATTGGTCACGAGTTTGCAACCGATGGAAGGTCAATTAATGCGCATATTGCAGCTGGCGAATCGGTTGTAGACTTGTTTCGGCTGCATACTGAGTTGTTTGCGAGCTGTCACATCAAAGCTCAGGAATATTCCAACACGCTATCATCACCGTTGAAGGCTACTGTAGATGAACAGTAGCGACTCCAAACGTAGAGCTACCTAATAAAGTGGTAGAAACCCATCTTCTTTACTTTTGCCTACATAGTTTACGTCCTTTTAAATTGTAATAATTTGTCAGTATTCCCGTTAACTATTTTCGTTGTAATTCTTATAATGTATCATGTTAGTCTATTGGAGAGAAAGTAAAAAAGACTAGAAGTAGACACCCTGTATTTTGATTTAAATTAATCCAGAAAGCAAAGTTTTTGTAATTCAATTCCAATTGTTTTCTGATAATAAATAAAAAAATATTTGTTGATTAATTAATGTTTCCTACATTGTCTCGAATATTGTGTATTAAGTTCTTTTAAATTAAATGATTATATATTTTATTTTGTCGTTTATTTTATAACCTATTATATTTTGAGAAAAAATAGGTATCTAAATTAAAATAACACAAAGACAAATAAAAGATGCTGCTAAATTGGGGTTCATGAAGCTCTAATAAATAATTCGAAGACACAACTCCTTTAAAAATACCATTTAACCCTGAACATGCTGTATGAAATGTTACTGAAAAATTCCACGTAGGTCTTTATTTGTGAATAATAAAATACGGCGTATAAAAGACGAACTTAATGCCATATGGCATCTCTCTGCCAGCCACCCAGTTTTTACCCATTATTGCTTTGACACAATAAAATAATTTCAAAAAAAGTGTAAAAAGAAGGAAATGAAATTGGATTATTGATTATTATGTATGATTATAATCATAGGCAGGCATGTATCAGATGGTCTATTTTATAAGGCTATATTATTTTATCTTTGCGCCATCTTAAGAAAACTCCCCTATTTACTTCCTAACCAAATGAAAAACTATACAAAGTAAACATTTACATCTAGATGTCGCTACTGGATTAAAAAAAAACAGTTTCGAAGGACCAGAAATGTTTAAGGATCTATAACTGTAGGTGGCAGCACTGAGCAGTACGTAGTTCACCACAGCGTAGTTAGATGTCGGTAGTTCGTAAATAGCTTTTATGAGTTCAGTGCCTCTCTAGCCGGGCTAGTGAGACTGTACCGAGTGAAGTTTAGCGGGAATACTCGACCGGCGAACGGCGACCACGCTGGGGGTCTATCGCACCCGCCGAGACAACTCTTTCTACGAAAATCGCGATGTGTAAATAAACTTGTAACAAGTGATACAGTGCGGCGACACGATTTAACAACCGAAATAACCGACGAACGTTTTACACGATGGCTCTAAAAGTTGTGTGCGGTGGTGTTTTATTTTTGTGCATTTTACATAGTGCCGCTAATTTCAATCTAGAGCCGAGGATTCCCGTCATAAAGTTCGGAGAGACCGGCTCTTACTTTGGATTTTCTGTTGCTGAACATCAGTCCGTGAACAGCACGCATGTCACTAGTTGGTGAGTATTTGTTTTGGATAATGAAACTAATCTTTGAGTAATAGGAGGGCAATGATGTCATATGCGAAGGTCGCCTCCCATATGTTTTGTATCGGGCCGTAGATCTAAGAACGTTGCGCTACAAGAATATTGTATTGAAGTGTGATATCACAATTATCAGAATGTGCGGCTCTTATCAGAAACAACGAAGCCATTGTGTTACTCGGCTGAATTTATTCGTTTGATACCGACTTGCTAAGTTAGTATTACAGTCGTGTACTAAGGAAAGTGAAGAGACATTATCATTATTTAAGAATTAGCAAGAAATTATTCAGTTATAAGATATTAACTTTTTCTCTACAATGATATCAAAATAATGCTACGTTGCACGTTTCAATACTTGAGAAACTTCTACACATTGTTGCGATTGTAAAATTTTGCTTAAATGGCCATAAATTCTCTACAGTTCGAGAGAGGTGATAAATCAACAAGTTTTTCTGTTAGGCACTTCACGTAACCGCACTTATGAAAGTGACAATGCTCTTACAACATTGTAAAGTTTAGACTGGACAATAGCACCGTCTGAGCCTCAGAGTTGAAGTGACGGACAAAAAACCTCCGGATGTAGAGTCTACCCTCTACCTGTGAAGTTTGACTACAAAGCTCTCGCGCACAACTTAAAATTACTCGGATGTTAATTAAACTTTTTGTTAACTTCAGAAAGTATTTCGCTTGTCGAGCGATTTAATGGTTAATTATATGATATTTTTACTTTATTTAATCAGATAAACGCACTTATACATTGAACACTTGTTACGATTTAAACAAAATTCATATTATTTTGCATTGTTACAAGAACAACTAGCTCTTTCATGTTCACGAAACGAGATCAGAATCTACATAATAAAACTCTAATACCTTAATAAAGTTTACTTTACCGATCGTGTAGAGTCGTAAAGTGGATTTTAATAACCTTGGCTCTGTTTTTATTTAGACTACAGGTAGATAGGTACTAAGCTTTACCTAAGCCTAGATTGTGAAACTCGCAACGTTAGGAATTAATCGTCTAGTACTTAGATTAGCATACTTTTCCTATAAATCATTCCGGTAATTTTGGTGTAGCGATATCAGTTCTATCTGTAGTTGTTTGCCTGCAATTATGGATCTAGCAATTGTAGAGACAAACGTTAGAACGTCTAGTTTCATTTATTTATTATTTGCGGTAAATAAATTCTGATTTTAATAGGATATCATTTTGGTATTCAATGCAGAATTCGTTAGCAATGTGACACCAATATTGGCGGCTCTGTGAATGAACTTTGCCAAAGTGCACAAAGCATATCCGTCAGCGGTATAACTGCTTGCAACTGAAATGCCAAGTGCAATCTAGTGCGGGATGTGTAATTTATCCCTAGTGTGGCGCCAAGAGCAGGGATGTAGTCTAGTTTTAAAAAAAAACGGAACGTCCTAGACTGGCTTGTCCTTGATAAGTCTTAGATTTTGATAGTTGTTGCAAATACGATACGATGCACTCTAGTGAAACAAATAGGTGTTATTTTTAGTCGACCTTATTTGTTTGCTATGGAGGTGATCCAACATAAATGGTTTTTATAATACCCATACCCATTTAACTATGTCGTCGAATGTGCTCTTTTGGTTACTAAACTGGAATCCGGAATGGGTTTTTAATCCCTTTTTTGCTCCCTTTTCAAGTTCATCACGGCCTGCGACCAGCAAGCGTGTCTAAACGTTAGTGCACCGCGCTGAGTGTGACCAATTCAAATAGATTGTTACAGAATGAACAGAACGTACTTGTTCACGTATTTTTCTTGTTGTGCTCTGGTATGCGTTGGTTAAAAGCGTCCAAGTTACTTACGGGAATATCATAGCTTTAAAAACAGAAAAAAGATACATATCGGTATTTTATACATTGCCATTCCTAATAATATCATCTAGACAAAAAAAAAGACGTAACATTTTTGAAAGTAAAAGTCTATAACGGGTTCGTCCCGTCTACGAATTCTTTCTCCAAGATGGTAACACTAGCTGTGTTCTGTTGTGACCTACTCGAACGGTCAGTGGTCGGTGTGGCCATGGACCTACGTAGGTGTGTAGTGTACTTAAATACAAGCGATTACATAGACGATTTATGTTTCGTCACAGCACAGCTGTTAAGTCTCTTCCAACCGCTTAAAATTGTGTTAAAATTTCGGTTTACACGCGTGGATCAGATTGTCATACGTAGCCCGAATGTCTCTCTTGGGACAGTAAAAATTAAAAATGCGGCGTAGTAGGCGATAACTGAAGAGTATAACGTTATAGAAGTCTGGATATAAGTTTTTAAACAAACGTAGATTATAATTAAAGACAAAGCGTTAAGTATTCATGGAAGAGGTAGACTTGCCCTATTCCACTAGTGGTAACAAGGGTGCAGTTCGTGACAAAAATAGTCCAATCCGATAACAGGGCTATTTACGGAAAGAAAAGAACGCGAGAGAAAGATTAATGTCAGCAGTTTACAAGAGCTGCTGAAAATAAGACATTAGTTATATGTATATCTGAAAATAGAGTCGGAGATTGATAAGCCACATATATTTAATTTTAGTGACTCACATTTTACTTCCAGATGAGTTATGCACGCATGCATTTGCATAAATTAATAATTTATAACTTAAACTTATGAATGAGTCACAGTTCTGCATTTCCTATGTTTGCGGTGACCTAGGTAACTAGAACATCGGCTATTATAGTAGATCGTTGGATTATATCCAAAGCTCCCCGCGGGTGGCTTACGATCCTCCATCCATTCTCTGGCTAAAATTTCAGATATTGCACTGATCTTTAACTTAGTCCTTTAAGATAAAGTGCACTTTCCAATAACGCATTTATTGATAAAGTATTGCCAACTGGTGCTATCCTCGAAGTGCTTGAACACAGCTCAAAACATTTCTAACTGCTCATTGCGTTTTGAAATTCTAATGAGTGTAATGACCTAAATACATTTGTCTAGACTCTAGAACATCGCTCTTCTATCAAATAACTCCAGGCTAACCTAGAATGTGAAATGCATTCGCAAACTAATTGCGCGAAGTCTATAATTTAAGGCCGGGTAACAGAGAAAATGGCGAAAATGAGGTTTTCATTTTTCATTTTTGAGGTACTAAACAGTAAAATATAAGGCTAAGATTTTTTTTGAGCATAGTTGAGGATATTTTCTAGGGCTATTAACGGATGGAAACACGATTTGATGAAGTTGACTCGATAGAATAAATTCCCAAAGTTACCTCTATTCGTTTTCTAATAATGGTTTTATTTTTAAAATAAGCGATTTGAGATTCTGAATCTTTTACTAAACTAAAGTTCAGAAATAACTTGAGGGCTTTTAACGGATGAAATTTTTACCTTTCGAATTCAAGACAGTGCAGTTTCCCATCAGTCTGCTTCGTAATGACTATAAACAAAGCTCAAAGTCAAACTCTAGGGACCTCTGCTTAAACTCCCATGAGTGCACAGAGGTACGCAGGTAACCGCGTGTGATGCTTATAGCAATTTTCGATAGATACAGAACCCCGTACATACGTCATACATATTATAGAAAGAAAACACCCAGACCAATACAAACAAATATGTTTCTGCAATTTTAGTATGATATTTTTATTTATTAATAAACAAAGAGACTAGGGCATGTAATATCGGAAGGTTTTCAATTCCGATATTGGATTCCGATATCAGGTCTCAATATCGGAATTCCGATATTAATATCGGAATTGAGTTCATGTGCTATAAAATTAATATTTGGTTATATTCGTAAGAATTCTGGATTGATGATCATAAGTGCCACTTGTGGTCTAAACTGAATAAATATTTTTGATTTTGATTG